TCACGATCCTCACACACAAGTCTCCCTCCTCTTCACGATCATCACTCACAAGTCTGCCTCCTCTTCACGATCCTCACACACAAGTCTGCCTCCTCTTCACGATCCTCACACACAAGTCTGCCTCCTCTTCACGATCCTCACACACAAGTCTGCCTCCTCTTCACGATCATCACTCACAACGTCTGCCTCCTCTTCACGATCCTCACTCTCCCTCCTCTTCACGATCCTCACTCACAAGTCTGCCTCCTCTTCACGATCCTCACACAAGTCTGCCTCCTCTTCACGATCCTCACTCACAAGTCTGCCCTGATCCTCTTCACGATCCTCACACAAGTCCCTCCTCTTCACGATCCTCACTCACAAGTCTGCCTCCTCTTCACGATCCTCCTCACACATGTCTCCTCCTCTTCACGATCATCACTCCACAAGTCTGCCTCCTCTTCACGATCCTCACACACAAGTCTCCCTCCCTCTTCACGATCTCTCACACAAGTCTCCTGTCTTCACGATCCTCACACCTCCTCTTCACGATCATCACTCACAAGTCTGCCTTCCTCTTCACGATCCTCACTCACAAGTCTGCCTTCTCTTCACGATCCTCACTCACAAGTCTGCCTTCTCTTCACGACCCTCACACACAACTCTGCCTCCTCTTCACGATCATCACTCACAAGTCTGCCTCCTCTTCACGATCCTCACACACATGTCTGCCTCCTCTTCACGATCATCACTCACAAGTCTGCCTCCTCTTCACGATCCTCACACACATGTCTGCCTCCTCTTCACGATCATCACTCACAAGTCTGCCTCCTCTTCACGATCATCACTCACAAGTCTGCCTTCTCTTCACGACCCTCACTCACAAGTCTGCCTTCTCTTCACGACCCTCACTCACAAGTCTGCCTCCTCTTCCCGATCCTCACACACAAGTCTGCCTCCTTTTCACGATCATCACTCACAAGTCTGCCTCCTCTTCACGATCCTCACACACAAGTCTCCCTCCTCTTCACGACCCTCACTCACAAGTCTCCTTCCTCTTCACGATCATCACTCACAACTCTGCCTCCTCTTCACGACCCTCACTCACAAGTCTGCCTCCTCTTCGCGATCCTCACTCACAAGTCTACCTCCTCTTCGCGATCCTCACACACAAGTCTCCTTCCTCTTCCCGATCGTCACTCACAAGTCTCCTCCTCTTCCCCATTCTCACACACGTCTCCTCCTCTTCACGATCCTCACTCATAAGACTGCCTCTTTTTCACGATCTCTTTAAGAGATTGATTAATTTCATTCAATTCAGGTGTGACATTCTATTTTCAGCGAAAAAAAACTTACTTGATTAAAGTTGACCGCCGCTCTATGTGTGCGTGCGTGCGTGTGCTCGTGTCTGTGACAATAGCAGGACCAGGCATTACTACGAGAAGCAGAAGAGGTATCCTCTATCTATGGTGCAGTGATCGCTCGTGATGGTGTTTCCAGTACCAGTTTTATCTCCTGCTACTCACTGCTAACGACTTCAAGCAGATCCTTTTCTCATTTCAAGGTAAACATGTATACATCGAGTGTTCGGAATACTTATCATATGGAACACAGTTTACCTATATGCGCACAATCTGGAAAAAACGCACGCGTGTATTCCCGGACGGCTAGTTCTCCAGCAAAGATATCGTGTTCATTTTACTGGTTGCTTGCCAAGACAACATGTCGCCATTTGCAATGAATTCCGTTGCAAGGAGTAAAAAGATAAACAAATTCTACAATAATGAATGTATTTTTACTCCTCTTCAAAGCGCGTTTCACTTGTAAAGTAACAGAGTAATCTATCAAATAGTCAAGTCAGCTTGTGCATAGTAAATAACACCAATAAAACGTATGACGTTATTTGAATAAATCCCTCAGGTTGTAGTTAGATTGTCTAGGCAAGGCAAGGCAAGGCAAGGCAGCTTGGCAAGCACCAGCATAAAACATATGAACACATGTATATTTCCACATTCCATAGTTGATGCATTATAATCACTCAAACTCAGGAATGCGAGTAGTTATGTTATTCATGTATTTTATCTCATGCTCAGTGAGAACATTCGTTTTGTTGCTTTTAGTTTTGTTTTGTGCATTTTTAAACGGTTTATTGGGAGAAAAGCTTTAAAGCTAATTTCTTTATTTTTTAAACAACTCTTATTAGATCTTGTCTTGAAACTTGATGCTCCACATGAAAATAGCTTGCGGAAGTAAAACACGAACATGAAACATGTTTTGACGTTAGAATACTTTACAGTAATATAACCGTGATACATGTTATTGAAACATTACTTTTTCCATAACAATTTGTTATTTATACATGTATAACATAAGACATTGTGTCCGATGGTGATGTCTGGGTAAGATTAGAGAATACCGGACACCTTCCGCCATCTTTGAAAGCACGCGAGTTTAGTTTTTGTTGGGGTTAGGGTATAGGGTTAGGGTTAGGGTTAAGGTTAAGGTTTAGGGTTAGGGTTAGGGTAAGGGTAAGGGTTAGGGTTAGGGTTAGGGTAGGGTTTAGGGTTAGGGTAAGGTTTAGGGTTAGGGTAAGGTTTAGGGTTAGGGTTAGGGGTTAGGTTTAGGGTAAGGTTTAGGGTTAGCGTTAGGGTTAGGGTGACGTAACACTAAACAATATGGTTGGTAGGTATCCGGTATTCTGTAGGTGTACCGACGTCTGTGTTCCTGGATGAAGATGTAACTCGAGCGGTGTATTCTCGGTGTGTTGATGACCTGGGTTTAACACAGCCAGTATTCCAGTTACATCACGGCGTGTCAGGTTCATGTCCGAGGGATGACCGAAGGGATGACCGAAGGGATGCATGTTTCAGTTACCACTTTGCAGCTTTTGCAACTTAAGTGTGGACAGTCTGCTCCCAAACGTAGGAAGCAATATGTAGATAGAGACGACAAGATTAAACGCCTTGGACTAGAGTACACATGGCATTGTGTATTTCATAGAGTACATGTTATGTGAAGGAAATCTTGACTCATACCTGACTCTAGCTGCATTCAGACAATGTGTCAAGATCTGAATTAATATATTTGTGAGTGTAAATAAATATAGAATCTTCATATTTGTTTTGTCACTTACTAGCAACAGTGATCATCTACTGATCAATTTATTTAAAGATCACTGAGCCGTGATTCTCTATTATCTATACCATGTACGGTAGTCACCTACTCCCAGCCAACACCTGACTTAACGAGTTAATTAATAGTAGCAATCTTCGAAATACGCCGCCACAAATCTTTGATCAATCGTGACCAATTTGCAAGGATATTACATCCCATCAGCCTATGACTGACTGACTGAGTTTAGTTTTACGCCGCTTTTAGCAATATTCGAGCAATATCACGACGGGGGACACCAGAAAAGGGCTTAACACATTGTGCCCATGTGGGGAATCGAACCCGGGTCTTCGGCGTGACGAGCCAACGCTTTAACCACTAGGCTACCCCTCCACCCCCATCAGCCTATGAAGAACTAATCAAACTATAGACCATCAATAGCACCCTGTCTATTTGTGGTTACTACTTAATCGCCCTGTTTATTGGCTTCATCAAGTGCTGTTTGTTGTTTTTAGTTCCCTACTGGCCTCTTCCAATTATGTACCACTTGTTATTTCTATTACATGCTGTTGTTAATGTTAATCTGCTGCTTGTCACAACATACCATGTATATATGCTCCTCGCCATTTGGTTGTACTCACTTTTAGCTTGATAACGATGTAAGAATCTACATCGAAACGTCGCTCAACGCAAATAAACCAGAAGTTGTCATCCAAAAAAGTTGTATGTTTCATTTGTTTATAGTAACAGTTAATCCACTTACAGAGGAGTGAGTACAGCTAACGGAACAGCCAGGCGAGGTGGTAGAGGTACTAATTAGTAGCTTGTAACAACAGGGGCTAGGGGGACGGGGGCTAGAGGCGTGGAGTCAGTCTTGGTGCTGACAAACCTGAGAATGTAATCGGAGCTGTAACAAATACACTTTGACAGTCTGCAGGGTAGGGTCTTAAAAAACAGTGCACATATATATATATGGGTGCATGAAAAATAGGCATTAATTTTGGGTTTTTTAATAATACAGAAAGATAGAAGAGCTTTAACATTTTCAGAGGGTTATCGGTTACATGTGCAACGACATGGGAACAGGCATCAAGCGCAATGGGAGGGTATTTACTTTCAGCACATGAATGCACGAAAAACCTGTTACCCATCCACCTCTGAAATATAGGACCTGTCCCAAATATATCTGATTTCAACAGAACCCAACTTTTGCAAGAGTAGAAATTGACGTAAAGAAACCAAAGCAGAACTCGTTTAGAATTATTCCTGGCTGTCGCCTGCCAACATATGGTCAAAGGTAGATAACTCTCTTGGCACTAACCATGCCAAACGCATACCCTTTTGCTGGGTTGTCTTAATTTCCAGAGCTGTAGCTTTCAGGACGGGCCACAGCTCTAGAGGGTCGTAGAGCGTAATCCTTAAATAAGAACTGTAAGTGTTCAGGGACGATATAATTCTTAGAAGTCAGAGTTAAAAAATTAGACTAGATGTTTCTTATCGCGTCACATACAGAAGGTACATAAATTTATATCTGTAGACAGTAATGATGGCAGGTTTACAACTACAAGAGGTAGCGATACTTTCCCTAGGAAATATTAATACATTTGCAATAAATCAAACCTGTGTTGAGGTGAGATACTTAAAACTGTTATCTTTTTGTTCGTTTTGTCATTTTTCAGACGATCGCTTATATAATGCGATTGAAGTTATATATCGAACAGGTATACATACTGGAGGCATTTAAATAGAATGATGGGGACAGCGTCTTTTGGTGGATAGAAGTGAATGGAAGAGAACGATTTCATGGATGCTGTGCCTTGTAAATGAGACGAAACAAGAGGTTTGGTTTTGTTCCGGTTCGTAATAAATTGTCCGGATTTTACATCATGACAGTCATACTACTTCCGGTGTAGAAAATGGCTGGGAATGAATTTGTGAGAGAAAAGCATGTCAAGTTTTTTGTTCGAACACTTCAAATACTACCATCAAGTTGCGCATCGCTGGATACGAATAGGCAAGATTAATACATATATGCCTTGTCGCCAGTTAAACTCACTTAATGATGCAACACGTAGCATGAATAACCAACCACGGCATGTCACGAAAACCGAATCATACATTTGCCCACAAAAGTTTCGAGTGTTTACGAAAGAGTGACTCTAGATTACTTCATTTATCTTTAGTTGTACATAAACCGCTACCCACGGATCATTTTGTTCACAAAAATGCTGAGATACAACTTTTGATGGCCTCCCCCATATTTCATTACATACACCGTATTTCATTTTGTAAAGATGATTTCACGTTGGTAGTGGAAGTCATACGACGGTAAGAATGCATTCAACCACCTTTTCCATCTGATATTCATTCAGAGGTTTTCAAATCCTGATAAACTCTATCTGATTGCAACAGCCCCTCTGATTTGATGTCCGCATGACTGTGGAAGCTAATATCTGTACATCAGTACTTCTCTTTCAGTTGTTGTTGGTAGGAAGGCGTTTCCTATTCTCGCGGTACTTACGGATATTGGCAGAAAAAATAACACAAACAATTCTTATCATATGAATGCTTGTTGTTTTTAAATAAATTACCTTCTCCTCTAACATCTGCATCTATCTGCTGCTAGATCCATCAGGTGAATTACCACTCATGAGCCCGGTGATAAACAATGCCATTAGCCATTGACGAAATGAGGCTGCTCCTATTCTCGCGGTATAATGAGGAAGTAATGTTAAGGAGTGTATGGAAGAGCAATCCTGCCGGAAAGGGCGTGAAAAAGTTATGATATGTCCAAGTGGGTATAAACTCCCCAATATTCTTGACATTGCAAGATTTTGATCACTCACAGACTTGTCGGTGATGTAAACAACCACTAAGTGTCGCGCATCGGTGATCTCGGCAGAAAACGTGTTTACCGCGAGAATAGGAGACAGACCTATAGGTATTGTTAAAATAATTTGAATAGTGTGTACAGTATATTGGTTATGAAATGGGTTATGTTTGCAATCTGAAAGAGAATGTTTGGCCAAACGTCATCAAACACCTAGAGTTTGTAGTTTAGTACTTTCTTAATTACTACTGTGTTATGTACCTTTTGCACCACAGTGACCAATATGGCATCTTAATAGTGTAATGTGGTGTAGTGTAAACATTGCAAGTCTTGCTTAGTTTCTGTAGAGGTGCTCTCTTCATGTTCCTAACAAAGTTGCTAATCTCAAATGTAAGTCACATGAACTAAATGTTAAGAAATACTTCATATATTGTTTCCACAGCACATTTAAAACACTGGACTCAACATGCCTTTAAACTCTGTATATTTGCAGACATGTAACATTTAGGTAGGTAATATTCAGATAACATTACACTGAAATTTGAAGTCATATGTGTGATGGTTTAAAAATTACATTTGCCACTGTTGTATCTGCGAGTAACCTAGTTCTTCTTTGAAACTGAAAGCACATTATTTTGCTCTCCTGATTTTATCAGGCAGCTTTCACCAATTTTGGTAGAAGGACTAGAGTCTTGTACACACCAGGTATTAAGTTCTTCATGTTCCATTTTTGGCCACCTGAATGACATTAAGTTGGCCGTGGAAACAGTAAGTTTTTCTTTGTATTTTGAGCTTCATCGCTCTGAACTTCGAACTGTAAATGCTGTTGCACGCTGTTTTGGTAGTAGCTTCATGCAAATCATGTAGGATAGGTGTGTTCCCCATATACATCCCAAAAACATTTTCATCTAGCTTTGGGTGAGAGAATACTCTTTGCACCATCAATACACATAGAGATACTTGAACGTTCAACACACATAAACATGCTTAATACTGTTGACACGCAGAAAGATTCTTGAACCTTCAACACACCTGAACCTTCAACACAAAAGATACTAGAATTCTCAAAACACATTAACACATTACAATACATGTACTTTCAATGCAAGTAATGATCCCTCCCATTAAACTTTGCCGTGTCATTCCAAAAGATGTTAAAGATGTTACTAGTTGTTTCCCTGCCTCATGTTTGATATGATATATAGCATCATTTGACTTGAGTCAGGAATTACATTTGCTATCAGCTGATTCCACTAGCATTAATATTGTATAAATCATTATAAATAAGTATGGTTACGTTATCACTGATGACCGATTGCTAGCACAGACATTTGTGTTTCACTGCCTGTCCATAATGAAGAATGTCAAGCGCTGGTGCAACCATGGCATTCTCATAGAGTAACATCGTGTCAGCTGTGTCTGGACGTGATCACAATTAGACTGTATTCTGTTGATGAGGTCATGGTACTAAAATTCTAATATTTCTCGACCTAAATGTTGTCTCAAATAGAAGTACACAGGTGCAATATAATGATGTTGAGGCTGCTGTTTTCAGAATGACCATTGCCTTCTTTGCTCTGTCTGGCCTTGATGTTCTGTGTGCCTTGAATGCCATTGAGAAGGAGAAGCAGGAGATAATTGACTGGATTTACTCCCTCCAAGTTTTACCTGATGACCGAGGTTTGTGATCATTGCGCCAACTGTCTAGACATGCCAGAGAAAACTACATATTTTTCCTTATCCTGACTCATGATCTTTTGCTTATCTCCCTTTTCCTTTCGAATGGTAGTGGAACACTTGAATCCCTTGAAGTTCCCGAAGCGGACGTATAAATACCCTCACCCACGAGTTACCTCCTTTGCCCTTTCCCGCGCAAACATATCATGTGACGTGCCCATACTTGTCACTCTCTCCTTATTTTCCGCCCATGCACTTGGATCTGCGGTGAAATCTCAAGTGTCTTCAACGGGGAGGTTGGGAGGGCTTGTTCGTCATGAGTCAGGATAAGTATAAAAGATCAATTTTACTTTAAAAATTACATATTTTGCTCAGTTGATGAACATTATTTTCAAGAACATTATGTTGGTTGAAGGTGTGGTTGGTTGAACGAGTTATTGGCTGAATGTGTTGTGAGTTGACCGTGTTGGTTGAATGTGTTTTGAGTTGAACATTATATTGAAATATGAGCAAATATTTTCAGTGATCTGAAGACATTGTCAATTGGTATGGTTAAGTGAAGAAACAAAAGTTATTATAATCAGTGAGGAACTGTTTGTGCTGTTCCTGTTTTGAGCTACGTTTGAATGTTTTGAGGTTCTTTCCCACAACATGTTAATATATTACATAGTTCATGTTTGTACATTCATGGGTCATCTATAAACCAAGTATGAAGTAGAAGTAAAAACATGTTATCATGTTAAGATGCCATGGTTTGTAAACATGTTTAGATACATTATCACTGGCCACCTGTCTTCCTGAACGTGTTAATGTCTTGAATCGGGGCATATTGCGTATTCCGAAAATATCTTCCTGCTCCTGTGGTTTCAGGTTCCAACCGACCCCAGTGTGGGTTCCGTGGCTCCTCAACTCTGGGGCATCATCACGATCCGGCCAAGGTAGGGGAATACTGCTGTGACAAGATCTCTTGCTGAAAATGTTTCCTTAAATTCTTCTCTGAGATTGAATTGCTTTTGATTCAGGGTCAGAACTGATCCCAAGGAACCTGAGCTTGTCGAAAGAAGCAGCTTACTGGATAAGATGGCTGGACAGTGTGACTTGTCTGATTTTATGGTGTCATCGTTCATCAGTGACATAGACAGCTTCTCTCAATGTCAGTCACTGGATTCAGACTTGAATATACAGATCATCTCCACAGGGATTGAGTTACTGCAGAGTATGAAACGACAAACAAACAAACATAGATTGACTCATCTGATGAAGTGAAAGCAAGGCATATCTCTGATTGCAAACATCCCCTGTATGAATACTATGATATTGGTTGTGACTTGGTGAAGACAGGTTGTTGTACCCCATGCTGTATTACAGCTGTAGTGCCCTCTCTCCACCCACCCACAATTCCTTGCAATTCCTTAGGGCTACAAACGTTTCGAGAATAAGGGTCCAGATCTCTTTCATTGCCAGGTATAGGAAGCTGCCAAATGGATTAGATGGTCTGAGTGGCTGACTTGTCGATTGCATGGCCTTGTCGTTAGGTGCCACAGTTCACTCTGCAGAGTCGGGTCCCTTGGCCACACCAGAAAAGTGTGATTAAGGGTTCGAATCCCACGTCCACTGTAGCTATGTTTCTAGGTTTGTCTGCATACCGCTGCTTGTCGATCTCACCAAACTGGTAAACCTCTCGGATCTACATCACGTTAGGCTCTCCTCCAACCTTCAGCAGGGCGGTATGTGGTTAAAGCGTTTCGTGTCTGCAAGACCCGCTTCTTGTTGATGGGCACAGTGTGAAGCCCATTTCTGGTGTCCCCCGCCGTGATGTTGCTGGAATATTGCTAAAAGCGGCGTAAAACCAAACTCAGTCAGTCAGTCCAACCTTCAGCTAACATGCTGTCAAATAACTGGAATACTGTCCAAAGTGGCATAAAACCACTCACTCACTAAACCTAGGTGAATATTTTGAAGTAGATTTCCAACATTTCCTGTGATTCACCATGTTACTTCTGACTGAGGTATCACATCCTTCACGTACTTGTTGAAACCATCCCTTCCGATTTATTAGGAGTCAGAAGAAATGAGTAAGCATTCTGACTCCCCTGGCATGTCCAGTTGAATGTACACAGCAGATCAAACGTATTCCCAAGTGTTGGGGAAACACACATACAAACATGTCAAGTGTTGGAACTGGGCTCTGGACTTTCTGGAGCTCCTTGGTCCATCTCATTAAATCAGACAGTGTGTTTTGATAGTGTTTTTATGATCAGTTCACTGCAGTGTACCATTTCCCTTTCAGGCACGTAAAAAACCTATCATATACGACAGTGGACACATCGCCATGACCTACACAGCCCTGGCATCACTGGTGATTCTGGGAGATGATTTGTCCCGACTGGACAAGGATGCCATCATCAGCGGTCTAAAGGCTCTGCAGCAGGATGACGGCAGGTGAGCTACAGTCCACATCCAGGTGGCAGACACTGGGGGCACACTCATAGATATCCCCCAAATACACTCACTTCATGGCATTTCATGGCATTTAACCAAGCATAACTTTGTCCATGTATTGGAGAGAAAAATGAAGGCCTTGCCCTGTGACGTAGTCTTGATTGGCTGATATTAAAATGGGCAGGGCTTGTTTACATGACTGCAATGAATACACAATCCATGATTTTCTGATCTGTACAGTTGTTTGTGTGAATTTTATAATAGGAATTTGTAGAATGATGTATGACACAGACATGCGTTGTGGTTAAAAACTTCTGTATTTTACTGTAATAGTGATGTTTTGTTTATACTATTGAAGATAAATGTTGCTGAATATTACAATGCATCCCTGCATCCCTTTAAAACGCTTCACAGATAATTGTATTGGTCACTTCTGAAAAGATCTCCTGATTGCTTTTTGCCTTTGATATTTTGGAATTATCTGAGTAGGAATTCTGTGTTCACAGATCTGAGTTCTCAGGTGTGACGATGTGTTTCAGTAGGAGTACTGTGTTCTCTGGTGTGACGATGTGTTTCAGTAGGAGTATTGTGTTCTCAGGTGTGACGATGTGTTTCAGTAGGAGTACTGTGTTCTCAGGTGTGACGATGTGTTTCAGTAGGAGTACTGTGTTCTCAGGTGTGACTATGTGTTTCAGTAGGAGTATTGTGTTCTCAGGTGTGACGATGTGTTTCAGTAGGAGTATTGTGTTCTCAGGTGTGAGTAGGATGTGTTTCAGTAGAGAAGTACTGTGTTCTCAGGTGTGACTACGTGTTTCAATAGGAGTACTGTGTTCTCAGGTGTGACTACGTGTTTCAGTAGGAGTATTGTGTTCTCAGGTGTGATGATGTGTTTAAGTAGGAGTACTGCGTTCTCAGGTGTGACGATGTGTTTCAGTAGGAGTATTGTGTTCTCAGGTGTGACGATGTGTTTCAGTAGGAGTACTGTGTTCTCAGGTGTGACGATGTGTTTCAGTAGAAGTACTGTGTTCTCAGGTGTGACAATGTGTTTCAGTAGGAGTACTGTGTTCTCGGGTGTGACGATGTGTTTCAGTAGAAGTACTGTGTTCTCAGGTGTGACGATGTGTTTCAGTAGGAGTACTGTAATCTCAGGTGTGACGATGTGTTTCAGTTTTTGTGCAATGCCGGAGGGCAGTGAGCATGACATGAGGTTCGTCTACTGCGCATCCTGCATCAGCTACATGCTGAAGGACTGGAGCGGGATCAACATCCACACCACTGCCGACTACATCAAGAACAGTGTGGTGAGTCTCTGTAACCATGGTAACGAGGAATAGCCCATCCTATCAAGAGCTGTATAATGGGCACACAGTCCCAATGTACTGTAAATCTTGAAATTAAAGTGTCTTGATTGTTGCGGTATTTCCACTATCCAAGGTGTATCCCATACTTCCTTTAATACTGCTTACCTTAGTTTCAGCAGAATCATGTGAGAATTGTTTCTGTTGATGATTTCTATTACAAAACTATTCAAGTGGTCAACAGTCTATATAGACATAAATGCAAGTTTATTTAATGCTAGCAAAAACGACTTGCAATTTTCACACGACATGCAGTGTTGCATTGATTTCAATCTTTCCAGTGCTTCAGGCCCCACAGGTTCTCAGCGTCCGTTCTTCACAACTGACTAACACTATTATATGGTGTCCTATAATTGCCATCACATGGTGCGTGAAAAAAGAACTACGTCGTGGGCGCATAAAAAAGACAACATCTTGCGCGACGTCGCTTTGTAAAATATTTTTTGGCTACAAAAATAACGGGCGGCGTCTGACTATATCGAGGGGTTATCGGCCTCTGAACGTAGCTGACCAAGGTTACGTCTAAAACGAAACAGGATTTAAAACGCAAAAATGCTTCAGTCACTCCCGATAAACATTTCTGTCGACCCGAAAATGTTTTTACACCTATATCCAATCAAATGCCACCCTAGAAGGCCACTCTAGTATAGTTATCCCCCGCAACGCGTTTTGCGGGGGGTATTAAAATGGACTCTGTCCGTCCGTCCGCATTTGTCTTTTCCAGAGCAGAACTCTAAAACCGTTCACTATTTCTTCACCAAACTTGGCACATAGATAGATCTGATGGTGTACTGGTGCCTTTTGGTAGTTTTGAAATTCTAAATAAAACATTTTTGGCGTTTCCATGGCAACAAGTTTGACTTAGCCTGAAATTAGTGGTAGTGCTCTTTTCCAGAGCAGAACTCTAAAACCGTTCACTATTTCTTCACCAAACTTGGCACATAGATAGATCTGGTGGTGTACTGGTGCCTTTTGGTAGTTTTGGAATTCTGAATAAAATATTTTTGGCTTTTCCGTGGCAACAAGTTTGACGTAGCCTGAAATTAGTGATAGTGTTCTTTTCCGGAGCTGAACTCTAAAACCTTTCACTATTTCTTCACCAAACTTGGCACATAGATTGGTCTGGTGGTGTACTGGTTCCTTTTTGGTAGTTTTGGAATTCTGAATAAAATATTTTTGGCATTTCCGTGGCAACAAGTTTGACTAAAACAGAAATTAGTGGTAGTGCACTTTTCCGGAGCAAAACTCTAAAACCGTTCAATGTTTCTTCACCAAACCTGGCACATACATAGATCTGGTGCCTTTTGGTAGTTTTGGATTTCTGAATAAAATATTTTTGGCATTTCCATGGCAACAAGTTTGACATAGACTGAAATCGGTGATAGTGCTCCTTTCTGGAGCAGAACTTTAAAAACCTTTCAATACTCTCCTTCCACTTTTCTATATACACACCTAAATATTTGACATAATCATAACTCGTAGACATAATCATGAAGAGTATTTTGCCACTGCGGGGGTTTTGATGACTTTGTCTTCTTGTTGTTTTTAGAAATGGGGGTATAGTGGTACATTCTGAAAAATGGTCATTCCGTGGCAAAAATATTAATGTTGTTTCATATTATAAATATTTTGGTCTTTTATTTTCCAACCAATTAAATTGGTCGATGGCATGTAAAACTCTCGAAGCGCAAGCAAAAGAGGCATTATTTTCCATTTTCAAACTTTTTAAAACTAGTACGTTTGTTTCTTTTGATTCTACTTGCTTACTTGACACTAAAATAGCACCAATTTTGTTATATGGATCAGAAATATGGGGAGCAAATTATTTCGAAGCCATTGAAAATGTCCATGCATCCTATTATAAAAGATTTCTTACAGTAGGTAAATTTGCTTCCAATAAAGCCGTACTTGGCGAAACAGGATGCTATAACATGCATATTGAGAGTCAAATGAGTGTTATTAGATAACGGGATTAAACTTATAAGAATGCGTAATTATCGCTATGCCCATCAAAGCTATCAATTATTGTTATCACTAGATAAATGTGGAAAGTATTCATGGGCTTCAGATGTGAGAAAGATGTTATTTTCAAGCAGGTTTTCTTATGTTTGGTTTAAGCAAGATGTTGATGATATAAAAATGATTTTGTCAACATTTAAACAACGAATAAAATATATATATATATTCAGAATTGGTACGCAACAGTCAATTCATCCAGTTTTCTTAGTCATTTTTCACAATGTAAATCGATGTTCGGACCTGAAAATTATATCAGCGTTCTTAATGATAAGTCCCTTTTAAGAAATTTTTGTAAATTTAGAATCTCTTAAAAATACAACATTTTAGAAAAGATAATAATACATTGGAAGATTTATCATGTTCTTATTGTTCTTCTGGTAAAACTGAAGACGAACCTCGCTTATTATTAGTCTGTAAGGCTTTCTCTGCCTGCCGAAAGAAGTATTTAAAATGCTCTAATGTTGCCCCACAAACGATATATAATGTACGTAATTCTAATAATGCTGATGTTATTAAATCTGTTGCCATTTTCATAAAACATTTGATGTCCATCCGTAAATCACATGTAAAGCCATAATTTCATGTCACGTGGCCAATAGTTGTAATTGAGCAACTTCAATTGTACTCTGGACCACTGGGCTTTAACTACTGAATAAAACCTGTGTGACTGTCTGTCTATCTGTCATTGTCCAGGTACTCCATCAATGTCAGGTGGTTATTTGCAAGCCTGAACTTCACGGTATCTAGTCGTTCCTCCAAATCTCTGTACTTCTATTTGGGGACAGTCTTTAGCTGGCATTGTACTGAAGCATCTTTGCCTCGTTCAGTCCTTGTTCATCTGCCAAGAACTTGGCCATCTCGAAAAGGTTGGGATGTTGTGTTCCCACAACCTTCTTGAGACGGCCATGCCAAGTGCAACCCCCGGTGCAGGGACCGTCAGTATTTTTGGTACAGTCGAAAAGATTCACTTTGACTTCGCAGTGTACATGTCCGTGGTTGTGGTCTCCAGGTGTTTGGGAAATTATGTCGTTCACTGTTAGATTGATCTCCATCAGATCCATTTTCCCTTTTCTTCTTGTTCACAATAACCATATATCCATTTACATATATGTATGTTCAACCACGAGAAGTAGGAAGAAACCAATTGTGCAGTTGCCATAACTGAAGTTGTGGAAATGATGATGAAAACTGTCAATTCCAACATTCTTATAGCTTGCAAGTTTATGTAAGAAATTGAATAACTCTACTACTAATGAATTGAGTGAACTAAACTTACTCACTAACCCGCTGGTTCACATGTCAACCCGCTGGTACAAATGTCATAGTTCGTTTCCTGAGTGGACACATTTTACATTTTGTAGAAAACCAGTGTATTAATCCCTTAAAACAACATCAAACATCAACTAAATTTGACAGAATTTTTTACTTAAGGTGTTCTGGCACTAACCCCTCGATTGGTTTACTGAAATAAGTAGTAATGTTAAGCATGAAATCAGTGAATAGAGATCAATAGCAGTACAACTGCATCACAAAAGGTTATTCCCCGATTTTCCAATATAACAATTTCTAAACAAGATGTCATAGGCGACGTTGGCATCGACGTCGTGGAGTGGCGTCACCATCGGCGCTTATCCTGACTCATGCTCTTTTGCTTGTCTTCTTCTTCTTGCGAACATAGTGGAACACTTGTATCTCCTTATTTGAAGCTCCCTTCAAAATAAAATCACTAATTGGTACTCACCACGAGTTGCTCCCCTTTGTTTCCCCTGGCGGGAAAGGTGTCGCCACCCTCTGGCCATGTGCTTCACTCTCCTTCTTAGCCCAGTGAGCAGGATGTGAGAGCGCCTCGTGTCTCCTACACACCATATCCTTTGATAATCTCTTAGTTTTTACCTCTCTTAGGTTACTATAGAGGTATAGCTAGTATCCTTTACTAATTTGTATTGATTAATTATCGTATTTCTACTGTTTATTCCACGTGTATTAGCGTGATTGTTCAGCTAGCTTTACGTTGATGAAAATCTGTATGCGATTTGTAGATTACGTTTTCTGCCTCTGATCCGCATGTCATATGCCCTAGTTGTTCTCGCCGTGTGCGTTTAATTCCGTTGCAGTTACTGCATTAATTTATCTCATTCTGCATTTAATAAATATCATCTTTAGCGTCTTAAGGCGTGCTGCAGATAGGTCCACGCAAAACAAGGGCAAAACATGGCAGAGAGTCAGATATTCCATCCAGTCAGCTGCTAGCGATCGACCCTCTCCCCGTCTGGTGTTCTGCTAGAGACCCCTGGCGGAGGAGGCGATGGGGCGCCAGTCCGTTACCTCGAAAGAAACGACCGGCCTCCCCAGACATCCCGTCATTGCAGACCAAGTCTAAGAGGGCCTCAGCGCCGTCTCAACGCAGACTGAGGACCCCAAGGCAGCGCCAGACTTCCAAAGGAAAATCTACGAAGACAACGAGAACTTTCTCGGCCGATCGTTCCAGCAGCAGAATTGGGCCTCACGATGATCAGCCGATAATCATCCCGACTTTACGGCACAAGAAGCGACCGGTGTCAGCGACTGTGACTTCTGCAGAGATCACCATGCAGCCTGATGCCTCTACACTGGCGTCAGGCGTTATTGATGTGGACCCCATCGCAGAGAAGACGCCGACGACTTCGTCACAGATCATCCCAGAAGACATGATCGCGGCAAATTATGAACATCATGGAGGACCACTACAAACTGCAGAAGCAGGGTCGAGCCTTGCCGAAGGCTCCAACGTGAACAGCACCCAAGAGGCACCCCCGTCCAGCGTAGCAGCCAGGGCGATGTCACCTTCACGCGAAGGAAGTCCGCACCACCTTGGCGAAGGAGCTAGATGTACAGCCTTCGCGAAGGCCTTCCGTGGAAGGGGATAGATCATCACCATCTTCGAT